AGAACTGGGTAGGTATGTGAGCTTGTCATAGAGAGCAGGTGACTGGTGTCTTCTCCAAACACACGGGGACACAGTTTTATGCAATAAGATGCTTCCGGGAAAGAAAGAATGTTGATATTTCTTAGTTGGGCCTCTTTAACAGGTATTCAGTCTCTGCTCCCTTCATGAACCTAACATTTAGGCACCAACTTTGTAATTTTTTTATTTTTCAAAAAGTTAAAAGCAAGAGTCAGAATGAATATCAAATGTTCTTTTTAGTAAGAAATTAGTAAGAAATTCAGTAGGAAGGACAAGCTGACTCAAAGCAGAGAGAGTGGGTTCTCTTTCTCACGCACACATATGCACGCACACGCACACACGAACACACAAAATCTTGAAGCTGAATGTGATGGCACCTACTCACTATTTAAATCTTGGAAGACTGAGGCAGGAAGATTACTATGAGTTAGAGGCCAACCTGGGCTACATAATGAGATACGGTCTCAAAACACTAAACAAATCAAACGCAAAACATCCTTAAGTAAGTTTGCTGATGGAGACATCACTGGTTGACTAATGACACAAAGGACAATAAATTTATGCTATTTGGGATTATTTCCCAATAGAATAGAAATTATAGATGCCACTGCTAGACTAGCCCTTTAGAATATCATGCAATCCCCGTGCCCTGCCTCAAATAGTAATTTAATGGTAGATCACACAGGTGCATGCCTCTAGATAATTATTTGATCTTCAACTGGTCTGTCTAAACATTGCTCATTGTGGGTAATAAAAGTTTATACCCATTTCCAGGCCTTATTTTAAGTGGCTTTTTATAACATCCCTAGTATTTCTATACCAGAAATCCTATTCAGAAGCTGACCAGGAGGAAGCATGTCTTAGCTAGAGCTGTATTCCCCGGGAGCACCCAAGGCAAGCAGCACAGCATTCAGGCTCTTTGTGGCTGGCATCAGGAGAGTGACAAGAATCATGTTTTGTTGTTTGATCTTCTGAATTTTTTGACCTTCTGAATTTTCCATGAGGGCCATTTAGGAAACTTTAAAGTAATATGGGGTTGAGAGGGAGTATGCTCCTGCCATGAGAGAGCAAAAACAACTTAATAAGCTTCAAAACAAAAATATTTTTCTGCGGGCTGAACAATGCACGCTACCAGAGGCCTAATGAGTTAAGGCTCCGCTCCAAAGTGTGGCCAAGAGAAGCTATTATTAGTTCTCCCATGACCCAGAAGCCCTTGTTTGCACACCCAGATGGGGCCACACTTCCTAAAACCATCAAAGCCCACTTTAATTAGTCTGTTAATAGAAACTTGTTGTGAGCCTGGGTACCCTTTGTGGCCAGTTTTTTTTTTTTTGTCTCCAATCTCCGTTAATTCAGTAAAGTATCACAGTAGCTGGAGGAACACAGAGATTTTGTTAATAAAAATAAGCTAGCTGACTTATCAGGTGGTAACAATCAGATTGAAAAACAGGAATCATTCGGTGAACTTTCCAGCTCAAATGTGAACAATATTATGATGTTTATCCTTGGCAAACCCTTCGATGCTGTATACAATGTAACTGCCTATTTTATTTATGGAGAAGGTCTTCGGGGAATTGGTATGAGACATTTGGGCTCCCTGAGCAGCTGAGCTCAGTATTCCAGTAGGTACGGAGGATGTACACAGAGAGATGTACACAAGGCAAAGGGGAGTAGAGGGTGAGGCCTCTGCATAGGAGTGTTGAGAAGGGACCCAGGTTGAGAGAAGGAAGAAGCCGTTTTGAGCTTCACTTCTTGGTTATTTGTCCCTACCACTGCCCTTTCTTCCTCCTGGCGCTTGTCCGCTGAACTTGAATAGTCTTTGTATTTCACTCGTGTCTCTCCATCTCCACCCACCTGATATCAGTGTCCTGATTTGAGGTGGATGCTGTGTTAGGTCCTTGATGTTATAGTTTATTTAGTTTTCAGATACAGCAGGAAGTGGTGGATTTACTGCCACTGAATAGATGGAGAAACTGGGGATGAAATGACCCACCTACAGCAGTGACATGGCTCATAAGAAGCACAGTAGGATTTGTAGATGTCTGACCTCAAAGATCATACTTGCTAATAACATGATAACTCACAGTCACATTACCATCAGTTGGGACAGTGACCATTAAGAGTTACCCTTATTCCAGGGATTTTCTACCCATTCCTGAAGGATGCAGGTTTCTTCCAGACCTCCAGAATTTCTGGTAGGTTTTTTCTTTTTCTCTTTTCTTTTCTTTATTTCCTTTTCTTCTTTCTTTCTTTCTTTCTTTCTTTCTTTCTTTCTTTCTTTCTTTCTTCCTTTCTTTCCTTCTTCCTTTTTGTTTCTTTTGGTTTTTTGAGACAGCGTTTTGCCTCAAACTCACAGAGATCCGCCCGCCTCTGCCTCCCGAGTGCTGGAATTAAAGGCGTGCACTACCACCGCCTAGCTTCCGGTAGGTTTTTAAGGTCCCCTCATTCGTGCTTCTGAGTCTGTCAAATCCAGTCAGTTGTCCCAGCTTCCTGCCAGGTCCCCACTGCCTGCTAGGATTTCGTGCATCAGCTTCAGAATGCTTGTGACATCTGTTGGCTCAGGGCGACCTACCATGCCCCTGGTCTCCACTGGATGTCATTGTCTCTTCTAGCTGCCCCTTCCCACCCTCTCCACCTCCAGAAGGGACCCCCCCACACACACACACCATGTTTTGTTTACCCTGGGAGGTCGGGCCTCAGGCTGTTTGCTCCGTCCTTATACTCAAAGTGTCAATGTTGTTTGTCCCCTCCAGAGTTCATGCTGAAAACTGGTCATTATTATAACAGTAGATAGCTGGTGGAACCCTAAGACAGGGGTAGGTTATGGAGCCCCACCCTCCTGAAGGGATTAGGGCTGTTCTTTTAGAACTAGGGAACTGGGTTGATTCTAGCAGATGTACATGAGATCTTTCTCCTGAGAATCTATTACTCACCAAGACAGGCTTGTTAAAATGCTAGGTGCCACTCTTGTGTGTTCTCTCTTTCATACGTTTTGTGCCTCCTGCTTTTCTGCTAATGCCATGGCATCATGTGAGGCCTTTGCTAAACAAAGTTGTGTCATCATAGAATCCCAGCGGCAGAATCTGAACTAAACAAACCTCTTTCTTTAATAAATCACTTGGTCTCAAGCGTTCCGCTTTAGCGACAACAGACCAAGACAGCGTCATTTCCGTTGTATCTTCTCTCTGTTGACTTACACAAGGCTCAGACCCAGGTCCCTGGGTGGGGGTTGGAGGAGCAGTCGGTCAATCCAGACTGTTCTAGAATCCTAACAAATGGAGAACACTTTTCCCATGCGGTGCCAGAGGCTTGGGTTACTGGGTTCATCCAACCCAGATGTCCTGCCCAAAGGAAGGTCACCTCAGCCACAAGTACAACGGACTCTTCAGATAAGTCACGCAGCTTCAGTGCAAGATAGAGCCCCTCCACACTTCCTGCACATTGACTTTTAGTGGTCCCTGACACAGGGTGTTGTACTAGTGACCAAATCTCACAAGTTTGTGGTAAGAGTATTTAGAACATCCTTGGTTTGAGAGACTATGTGGCCTTCTGGATCCAGGATGGCTGAGCATCAGTCCTCCCTAACCTGGTACATGACAAGCTACCACATGTGTATTGAGTGGCAGAGGGAACAAGACACAGATGACTGAATTGCGTGCTTGGTCATTTTTCACTGGACCTCATATTAAGGCATTAATTTCAATGCACTTTGTATTTTAAAAACGATTCTGCCCCCCTTTTCAATGAACCTAAACTTGCTTTGCAAAATAAAGTCTATAAAAATGAAAGTAAGCAGATTTAACATAGATTATGAATTACAAAGAAATGAACAGATCACTGCTGTGTTTCTGTACAGTCCAGTCAGGGCTTATTACTTGGCTGAAGGTTTCTTGCCAACAAATACAAGCAAAGTAAAATATTAATCTGTTCATCACTAGCCATGCAATCAGGGACTTACTTTGACCTTGGGGCTGAGTCCTGGGACTGCACAAATATTGTACATTCGCAAGGACAAACATCTTCCCATGGGTTTCTGATTTAATTGCACAGTGACCTAAAAGCACAGGGCTCCTATCCTTTGGACTCCGCTTTGTAAATTTTATTAAAGTTCTTGGCCGAAATGAGGAAGTGGAAAAGGTGCATTGTATGTTCCAGAAGCTTTATGAAACCGCAGACATCTCTTTTCTATTCCTCTACCCATGCATGGTACCAGAGTTGCTATAGGCTCAAAGCCTGGGCTCTGCCAGTCCCCACAAGCTAGGCGTGGCCACATTCCCCCAAAATACCAATTAAAGAGGCACATAATAGTGAGAAGCAGAGAAGAGAGGTCACTCAATGTGGTCACACTGGGAAGGGCAGCAAATAAAGAGGCCCAATGGCTCCCCAAGTTGATCTTTGGGGTGCTGATATGATGTTTTGCTTTAGAACGGGAAAGTTTACATATAAATAAGTGGTCCTGGTCAAGATGTAGTTCTGTCCATCATTGAGTCATAATTGTTTGGACTCAGAAATGCCCTGCCAGGTGCTCTTGTTAGATATCTGAACTGTGTAAAATCTTTTCTTGGGCAGCAAGCTCCTTCTCTGACTGGCACCAGGAATTTAGCCTTTTCTTTCTCCCCAAATGGGATTCTTAGGAAATTTTAATTCTTTGGCACACATTGTTCAGCAGTCTGACTGCCCAATGGAGGGGTGCCAGTGTCTCTTTTTACTACCAGGATAGTTACGCAGGGATTCTCAGTACCCTTATTTGTCCTTGTTCAAAGTTTACCCCCACATATAGGGAAAGGCTCTCTGTAGAAGGAGCTACGGGCAGCTTCCCACCGCCCACCCAGCTAGCTTTACCCGAAATAATTACACGGAAACTGTATTCTTTTAAACACTGCCTGGCCCGTTATCTCTAGAGAGTTAGTTACTGGCTAACTCTCACATCTTGATTAACCCATTTCTAATAATCTGTATAGCACCATGAGGTGGTGGCTTACCGGGAAAGATTCTGCATGTCTGACCTGGTGGCTGGCTCCATGGCATCTGCCTCATTGCCCTCTTCCCAGCATTCTGTTCTGTTTACTCCACCTACCCAATTTTCTGTCCTATCAAAGGGCCAAGGCAGTCTCTTTATTAACCAATGAAAATAACACATAGACAGAAGGCTCACCTACATTAGCTCTCCCTGAAAATTATCTAATCTTTCAAACTATTCACCAGACAAAACTCTTACTAGATCAAGCTGTTATAGAGAATCAATGTCCAGAATGCGTTTAAAGAGTGTTGGTGACGGAGCTGTGAAGATGACACTTTACAATGACAACTGGCCTCCCTAAAATTGCCAGCCCAGCTTGACGGCAGTCATAGTGTTAATAGTAACAGTCATCATGGATGCCTTAGTCCTCACAAATCACTGTGCATCCATTTGCTCCTTGGTACTTCATGGCAAAATTGTGGTCTGAATAGTCTTGTGTCATGTCAGGGTCATTTGAACATGTAAGTTTCCTGATAGCATTGTTGAGAAGTCTGTCTCTGATCACATCAAATAGTCTTGGCACCTTAGGAGTGAGGAATCCCTACAGCCGCATCTCTGTCCTACTTGTCAGAACCCTTCATGGCCCAGATGAATAAATGTCTCACCAAGTCCCAGGTTTTCATGGTTGGGATCCCAGGCCAGGGCTGACTTTGCTGTCTGACCTCAGACAAGCATTTGGGGGAGATTTTACCTCGTCATCTGAAAATTGAAACACTTCAGTCAAAAGATTGAGTTTTCAGATGAAATGCTGTCAGTGTGTGGAAATTAACTGCTTGGTGGACATTCTAGGAGGATGTCCTGGAGTTCTCTGTTTTCTCATTCTCTAACTTCCCCACCTCCTATACTATCCTTTCAGGCATATTTACACTCTCTAGGGCTCCACGGAAATGTCTCATCTCCTGGTATGTCAGTCTCTGTCGACCCTGACATTTAGTGACATTTCATTTCCTCCTCTGTAAAAGCTAAAAGGACTAGATTCAGTTGTCTCCAAAGATTAGCTGATGCCTCCCATTCAGCACCAGGATATAGCATCAAATAACTGCCACCTCTTTGGGCAATGAAGTTTCCTCTATGGGAGGTCAGGTGTTGGTGATCCATTCACCATGGTTTCTGAGCACTGAACTGCCTGGTATTCAGGGGTATTGTTTCCATGCTACAGTGTATGTGACATAAAGGCCTCTCATAGGGTGATCCAGCTACATGCTTGGGATCGTACTTCTTTTAACATGTTTTTCCTAGGAAAAGAGTGGTTTTACTCAGAATGTAGACTGATGGGTAGAATTCTGGGCAAACGGGATAATTAAGGCAAAAACAAAACAAAGACAAAAACAAAACAAATGAACAGAAACAAACAAAAATAATAGTGTGCAAGATCGTGGATAACATGTCTCTAATCTCAGCACTGGGTGCTTGGATATTGTGAAGTTGAGGCCAGCCTGGTCTACATAGCAAGTTTCAGGTTAGCCAGGGCTATGAGACCTTATCTTAAGAAAATTGGAAAAGAAAAAAAATGAGAGAGAGAGAGAGAGAGAGAGAGAGAGAGAGAGAGAGAGAGAATAGATATAGTAGAGAACAGGCAAGGGAAGACAAGAAAGTCCGAGAGACAGAAAAGAAATGAGATATGTACTTTATGACCACCCTGCTTCTGCTTTGAGTTTCCAGGTCACAGAACAAGGGGTTAGTTCCCGATGGAGCTTCCTTGAGTTTCTGAATTAAAAAAGTTGAGCTGAGAGTTCAAGGAAACCCAGGTGGCTAAAAATTCTCAGGCCAGAATGCCCAAGAGGAGAAACCTGCGTAGACAAAAAAGGCCCATCCAGTGATGTGCTTAGGGTCCCCTGGATACCCAGAGACGTGTTACTTCTGAGTTTGTACATTAGAAAAAATGCCAAAGACTGAAGAAAGAAGCTCCTGGAAGGACAGGAGTGAACAGGGTCACGGGTCTCTCTCCTACAGGGTTGGAAACTCTTTATTGTGTATGTAGACCTTTGGGGAAATATTCACCCACGTTCTCTGTTTCTCCTGCTTGGCTCCAGTAGTTTATATATTCTGAATATTCCCCTTGCACACGGATCCCTGAGGTATAGCTCTAAGATTGTCTTCAGTCTGCCAAATGCACCTATGTACATGTGCTTACCCTATACACTAACACACTCGAGTATACCTACATAAAGACAAAAAAATTAAAAGCAAATAAAGGAAGAGTCTCCATTTTTGTGTGAGAAGAAAACCTATTCATGAATTAATGTTAATATTAATATATCAATACCAATACCATTCTAAGTAGATTTAATTCCGTGTCTATAAGTATGGCAATGACATTTTTATTGTAGCAGTTACAAAATTCCATTCAAACTTCACATTAATTTTAGCGGGTTCTAAGTAGCCAGAAGAATTTTGGAAAAGAGAAACATAATTGGAAGTCTTTCTGACTCCAAAACTTACCCTAAAACTTACCATAAAGTTACAGTAATCAAAATAGCATGGGGATAGTGTAAGGACAAACATACAGATGGATAGAATTGAGACGTCGAGTTTAATCCCTTACACATGTGGTCTGGTGATTTCCAACAAAGGTGCCAAGCCAACTGATGTGATTAGAGACAGACTTCTCAACAATGGTATTAGGAAACCCATGTGCTCAAATGCAAAAGAATGAAGTTTAACCTTTATATGACACCATATACAAAGTTAATTCAAAATAGATCAAACACCTACATGTAAGGGCTAAAACTTAATGAAAACATAGGAGAGTCATTGAATGTAGCTACAGTTTATTGTACATAAAAATAAAGAGGCAGGCAATAAAATGAAAAATGAATAAACAAATCTATACCTTAATAAAAAGTTTTCTGGGCATCAAAAACATTATCAAGAGAGTGAAAAGTAACCCATCAATTAATTGGAAAAAATATTTACAAATCTGTGTATATGATTGATAACTTTAATTGTTTTAAACTTCAATTTATTCATTTTATTTTATATGTGAGCTTCCCCTGAATGTATGCATCTGAACTGTCTCTGTGTGTGTGTGTGTGTGTGTGTGTGTGTGTGTGTGTGTGTGTGTATGTGTTTGATATCCATGAGGGTGAGAAGAAGGCATTAGATCCCCTCGAACCATGTGGGTGCTTACTGGAAGTCAATCCTGGGTCTCTGCAAAAATAGTAAGTGCTTTTAACCACTGAGCCATCTCTCCACATCTACCCTGCTTTGTGAGACAGGATCTCCCATTGGTTTGTGTTTACCAATTCACTAGGTTGGCTGGACAGCAAGTCCCAGGCATCTTCTTGTGTGTTGCCTCCTTGTCTTGGGATTACCACCATGTCTGGCTGTTATATATAGGTGCAGAACAGAGAACTTGGGTCCTCATGCATATGTAACAAGTACTTTACTGACGAAGACATCACCACATCCCCCAGTTTGAAGATCTTTTATTGATATTTTACAGCTTTCAATACGCCTGTTCTTTTACCTCATTGGTTATGCCTTTTATCTATATAATCTACTGTCCATGATAGTTTAACCTAGGGTACTTTACAAGTGCTCAGGAGTTGACACTAGCCTATAGTTGGGCAATGTCATGGGCACCTGACCTTATGATGTTAAATCCCTGGTGGAACTTACTGTGAACCATGATGAAGTTGAAAATCAGAATGATTGCGTAGGGATGCTAGTAAAGTAAAAACATTATGCAGAGAGTTGAGAACGACCTGAATCCCATCTGGCGAGGGAAGTTCTGCTCTGTTGGTGTCTTATGATGTTGCTTCTGTGGGTAGACACATGTCTGTGCCTGATCCATTCCAGTGCATGGTGAGTGCTTCCGCATCTGTTCCTGGAGCCTCAGGTCTGAAACTTGTGTTCCTTACGCCACCACAGCCTAACTTTGCTCTGCTTGAAGAGTTGTCTCTGGATAATTGACTGGAGATGCAAATGCGAGGACAGCGTTGAGGTCTCACATGCTTGCTGAGGATCCCTCTGATCCAAAGAGGGGTGAGTAGATCCAGTCCCACCTAAGCCTGGCATAACTGTAGGTCCCGAGGCAAGTGGGATCCCTGCTGTCCCTGAGTCTTCTCCCCTGTGAAAGACAGTTACTGTTTTCCTCATCGCCCAGCGTGACTCCTGGAACCCCTCTGAGGAAGACATCGACAGCCAAGGAAGCAGAGCTGTACTATGTCAGCTTCCTTGGTGGTCTACCAGGCCGGCATGTTTCAAAACCCCAGAAGCCCTTCACTCCTCCCACAGACCACCTGCTGTGGCAAAGCTAAGCAAACAAACAAATAGAGCATGTTAGAGCACAAACACCCAGAGCTAGAATTGCAGACTCATTATCTACCAGCTAACTAACCTCACTAAGCCGGTGAAGCCTCCTTTCTCATATGAATAATGGGATGGGCTCACTTTACCACAGGGTTCTAATCTTCAGCCTGGGCACACAATGGGTGCTTGATAAATGTGGTTACTCACATTCTAAGGGACACAGCGGCTACTGAAGATGAGTGGACAAAGGGCGGTGCTGAAGAGGACAGGCAAGGAGAACTCACCGGGCCTCAGGAAGACAGGGACGTTTTTTAGATGGGAGCTTCAGAAAAGTGTCCGTCGTACAAAGGGAGTGTTCTGCAAAAGATACGAGGCCCTCAAGCCTCTTAATCCTCAGCCACTTAGCACAGGGCACAGGGAGGCTCATTGCAGCAGATCTTTGATATAGAGGGGCCCCTGCAAGGTCACTGTGGTTGCCTGTCCCAAGGTAGAATCCTCTATCCTCCTTTTTCTTTCAATAGATACATAGGTGACACTCATCCAGTTAGGAAGACTCTATCGTATCTTCCCTGTGCAGCTGCTACTGCATTGTTCCTTGAACTGAGGAGGGTGCGTTACTCAAGGACCCTCACCTCAGGAAAGAGGACTGCCCACCCCCCGGTTAGGATCAGTACCAGGGGGAGGTCTCAGTGCTTCAGGAAGGGTCTGTTCTGGGATCCTCGGGGAATCCTGGGTGGCTCTCTGCTC